GGTATTTGAAAGCCTTGCGTGTCCACACCTGAAAGCTGCATTTCCTGTCATGTTTGTTGCGTGAAGTGTTGGCTCTCCATGGGTGTTCTGGCTAATGGAAAGATGCTGTTCCCTCCAACAAGAAGGTGCTTGTGTGGCGATTTTCTTCTGTCTGCGTTCATCCACAGCTAATTTCTGAAGTTGCAGGGGTGCCTGGTGCCATGGTAACCACAGTTGGGGGCTGGAGGATTCACTTTTCCAATACTGTAAAATGGGAACTAGAAAAGGAAAGATTTTCCAGTTCCTTGGAAATGATTCTCAAAATTTTATGGCTTTCTTAATAACCATTTTGTGATCTTGGACATTGAGCTCTCAGAATCACTTCTGAAAATGTCAGACGTGTTTTTGATTGGGGAAGCCCAGGAATTCATTTTCTCCAAAGTCTGGTCTGGTCTTGCAGTTCACCGGCTTTAAATGCTTGACGTTTGGTAAGCTGACTATATTCACTGACCTCATCTCCCCCACGGGAAAGCTCATCTCCAGACTAGTTTAGAGAAGTGTGTAAATAAGGATGTATATTCACCAACTATACTAGAGTCGTGTTTTCTTGCAGCGTCTTGTTGACTTTGACTGTTCATAACTGTCTTAGTCCCCTCATCATTTAGAGGAGAAATTCCAAATCTATTTTCCAACATCGTGATTGCACTCCAGGGCATTAAAAGCATCTCTAAGGCCTGGTCCTCAAGGTCTGAGACATGCCCAGTCTTAGGGGAAAAGCCGAAACTCTGACTTGGTTTTTCCTGTAGACTGGTCATAAGTTAGGCTGTGGGTCTGGCAGAGGTTGGCAGATGTTAGGATAGAATCAGAGCATTAGAAGAGCTTGATGTTAGTGGAATTCTTTGATGTTTTAGACTGAATTGGGCCTGAGGACATGGACTACAACTCCCTAAATGTATGAGATTAGTATTCACTTATACAGCAAACACTGATTAAGCATCTGCTGAGACGACAAGACATAGTCATACTATTATAAAATGTTAGCCCAACGGACAAGCGTGGTACATTGAAGGGATTGAAATGGGTAAGTTGGAACAAAATGTGTATTAATTGTTGAATGTAAACCCCAAACCTGCCCTGTGCACCTATAGATCCCCAAAAAGGAGAGAAACATATAAACCCACATGGAGGCCAGGTTCAGAAGCAGCTTTACATTTTGTCTAATGAATATGATTTTCTTGCTCCTTTCCCCAAAGAAATGAGGGAGGGGCCAAAATACTCTTAAGCCAAGCCTTGTATTGGAACGGGAAGATTGAAGACCAGGCAGGACTGGTGTCTGACTGAGGTGACTGGTGCACCTATTTTAAAGTGACAAATGGGCTACGGCTATCAAAGGCTTGCATTGCTCAGATAAACCAGTCAAGGCTTCTGGGTATGACTTTGTCAGTTCTTGTCATTTACATTGCAGTCGTCTTAAATTTGTGTATTTTTATATTTATTATCACAATTTTCCAGCAGATGGCAGTCGAGTATCTTGAGGAAGAGGCACCTTTTTCTTATTCACACAGGAACCGTGGCATTAAGCCACTGGATCTGGCAAGACGCACGGGCAGAGCATGAGAAGGTTAAGGGAGCAGGATGAAGAAGGAGCAGATTTAGGACCAGATTCCTTGATGACAGTGGCAGGGAATTCAGTAGAAGAGATAGTGAAGAAAGAGCAAAGGAAATCACCTCCTTTTTACTGATGCCAATAGTCTTGCCCATGGCACTACCTCCTGTGACTGCTTTAGCTACTGGTGCGAGAGATTTGAGTGTGGCACACTAGCATGCTTCTCAGAATTGTCTGCAGTGGATTTCACTCGCCCGTCCCCACATGAGCACAGTTGTGTGACGGCACCGGACAGCAGGGCAGTGCAGTGCTCTGTTGGTCAGTGTCTGGGAGTCCGAATTGACCTGCTGGCACTAGCAACACATGGTCCATTTCAGTGAGGTACCCTATGTACTCGAGTATAAGCCAACCCGAATATCAGCCGAAGCACCTAATGTTACCACCAAAACTGCATTAAAAACTCAGCTTATACACGAGTATACACAGTAATAGCTCATCTGTAGTTAGAAAATACAGTAGTGGGGAATTTTCAGTTGTGACACATGATCCTGCCACATGGGTCATTGTTTGGATTTCCCCACTGGATGACACAAGCCCCACCCCTAGGGCTGCTTCTGGTAAATGAAGAAGTGGAGAGAAATGGCTGTTAGCCTGTTAGTTACCATGGACACGCTTCTGTGTGACGCTTTCATTTTCCTTTCCTGCCCTAGCAAATTCCCCTCAGAATTCCCTGCATCTTGGCACAAGGGCCAGAGCCCCGACGAGTCAGGAGCGCCAACTCCAAATTCTGGCTCAGCTATCAGCTTATTTGTGATCTAGGTTGAATCACTAACTTCTGAGTTCTGTTAAAGCAATAAAACAGAGTGCTGCCCATCTCAGTGGGTTACTTTAAGAATTAAACAAAAGAGTAAGTTGAACAGTAGTTTGTAAGC